TGGTCTGGAACTTGCTATGTAGACCAGTCTGGCCTGGAACTCACAGATATGTGCCTGCCTCTGATTCCAGAGTGCTGGAGGACTATGCTACCATGCCCATCTTGATTTTTTTTTTCTTTTGTCAGTGTCTAACATAACCCAGGTTGGGTTTATGCAGTGAAAAATGACTTTAAAATCTTGATTCTCCTGCCTCTGCCTCCAGGGTGCTGGGATTACAGGTGTGTGTCACCATGCCTTGTCATCCTGTAGTTTGACTCTGCAGTTGACTCTGTCCTTGACTGGTTTGGCTTTTGTCACCCAACCTTCCTTTAACTAGGTACCGTGGTCAAGTTGAGTAAGGTAGTAATCTCAGCATCTAAGAAGCTGAGACAGAAGCCAGGCGTGGTAGCACACACCTGTAATCCTAGCACTCTGTGAGGCAGAGGCAGGTGGATCACTGTGAGTTAGAGGCCGACCTGGTCTACGAAATGAGTCCAGGACAGCCAAGGCTACACAGAGGAAAAAGAAGAAGAAGAAGAAGAAGAAGAAGAAGAAGAAGAAGAAGAAGAAGCAGCTGAGACAGGAAGATTGCTTTGAGTTTGAGGCCAGCTTGGGCCACAGAATGGGACCATGTCTCAAACAAGACAAAACAAAAACAAAGCAACAAAGCACAAATTATGACGGCCAATGGAGGTTGGCAATTTTAAGTGAAGTTGGTTTAGACCATGGAGCTGGAAGTAGAAGCAGGCTGTTCTCAGACTCTAGAGGTAAAACTTGGAGATAATATGCTTCCCATAGCTTTAGTTACCTCTTGTCATCTGCAGTGGGAAAACACTAAATGGAAAATTCCATTTAAGGCAGCGGTGGCACATGCCTTTATTCCCAGCACTAGGAAGGCAGAGGTAGGCAAATCTCTGAATTTAAGGCCAGCCTGGTTACAGAGGGAGTTCCAGGACAGCCAGGATGGTTACACAAAGAAACCTTGTCTCAAAACACCAAGAATAGAAAAGGAAAAAAACGAAAAAAAAAAAAAAAAAAAAAAGAAAAGAAAAAGAAAAAGAAAAAAGAAACAATCCTGAGGTTTTATTTTTATTAATTTAATTGAGCATGTATGAAACGTGATTTCTGGGGATGGAACTCAGGTCTTCATGGCAAGCATTTTTATCCCCTGAACCATCTCACCTGCTAGTTCATACCTTTCCAGGTTTTTAATTAAATGCTGCTCTGAACAACATGATGAAATCTCCTTTTGCCCTTTTCTGCCCTTTCCAGGAAGGGAATCACCCTTTGTCCATTGTATCCAGGCTGCATAAACTATCCACGACCTATCCTATTAATATCAATTTTAGTTATAAGATCAACTGTCCTAAGACTGAACTATTGTGTTCAAGAAACTTATTTACTTAGCGACCCAAACACAACACTAGTGATCCTGCTAATTTTAACACAGTATAGTGTTTGGTCATTAGTTATTACTGATTTCTTAGTATACCTTAGTATACTGAACTTATAAATTAAACTTAGCCAAAGCACGTATTATAGGACCAGGTTCTAGCTGCGGTTTCCAGCATCCGGTGACGTACCTGGATCCTATTCCCCAGAGTAATGGAGCACTGTACTATTTGAAAAGGGAAGAAGCAATGGATGTCTGGGAAATAGTTTATAGGATGGATTTGCTGGCATGGCTTCCATGTTGGATTTTAGCCACACACAGGGGTCATATGGTGCACATGGGAGGTTGTAGGACCAGGCACACATGAGAGACATCCATGGCCATCACAACACACTTTTTCGTAGCACTCCTTTGACACAGGTTCCTCTTTCTTCCTCCCCTCTCCCTTTTTCTCTCTCTCTTTCTCGGCTTCCTTTCTTTCATATTTGTAGTTAATATCTTCTATAGAGGGATTTCTAGCCATTACAGTTGTAAAACAAATTAAAAAAAATTCTGCTTGAGCTTATGTGGTGCTCTGTACCTGTGATCTCAGCTTGGGCTACATAATAAGATCCCATCAGGGGAAAAAAAAAAGGCTAGGAGTCAAGAGCTCTTCTGCTTTTTACAAAAGACCCAGGTTTGATTTGCAGCACCAACATGCATGGCAACTCCCAATTGTTCATAGCTCCAGTTGCAGGGGCATCCAACATCTTCTCCTGGCTTCTGCGGGTACCACACCCACAGAAATACACGCAAGCAAAACATTCATACACATAAAGTAAAATCTGAAAAGTTAAAAATAAAAAGCCTGTGTGTCAGTGCGAGAACACTTAACACTGAATGCAAGACACAGGCGCGCGCACACACACACACTAACTCACAGAACACATGGGTCATAATTTTGTCTTTCTTGTGACTCTGTGGGTCAGGAGTTGAGGCGGGGCTGGGCTGGACAGTCCTCTCCCGGAGTTTCACAGCCAGAGGCCAGGAAGAGCTGCATTCGTCTGAAGCCTGAGCTGGGATGGTTGTCCCTGCGGTCTCATTTAGATGGCTGCAGACATGCTGGTGGTCTAGTGGGGGCTCAGGGGTGGGGGTGCCCCTTGTGTGCTTTATTTCGTTTCATTTCTTGTGTTTTAAAAATATTTTTTATCAGTCAGTCTCGGCCTCTAATCCCAGCACTTGGGAGGCAGAGGCTGGTGGATCTCTGTGAGTTCGAGGCCAGCCTGGTTTACAAAGTGAGTCCAGGACAGCCAGGGCTATAACCCTATCTTGAAAAACCAAATACATATATAATATGTATAATATATGTGTATACCATATGTGTGCAGGTGCCTGTGAAGGCTGGAAGAGGGCATAGGACATGAAATCCCTCAGAGCTGGAGTTATAAGCAGTTTGTGAGCTCACTGATGTGAGTGCTGGGAATCAAACTTGGGTCTTCTACAACAGCAGCAATTGCTCTTAACCTCTGAGTCCCCTCCCCTACCTTTTTTTATCATTAATTTTTTTGAGACAGGGTCTCACTATTTAGCTCCAGCTGTCCTGGAGCTCAGCATATATTGCAGGCTGGTTTCCAGTTCCCGGAGACTTACTCACCTCTACCTCCTAAATGCTGGGGTTAAAGGCGGGTCCCACCATACTCCGCGTTTTTCTGTGTTTTTCAGTTAAAATTACAAGATGGCTACAAAGTAATAGGTGAGTTTCACTGTGGCATTACCATACACACTTCATTCAAATTTGTCCCTCTCCTACACTGCCCTCCTGGTACCTACCTCCTTCTCCCTGGCTGGTTCTGTCTTCTGGATTCAGGAGCACTTTTGGCTGGTATGTATACATGGCCATTTCATGGTAATTAATTTCACTTTTTTTCCCCTCCTCAGAGTAAGAATCCCAAGGGAGAGGTAAAAACTGTGTGGTCTTTCATGCCATAGCCTTGTAATCCGTTCTGTATCTCCTCCACTGCATTCTACTGGCCTCACGCAAGTGTGTTCAAGAATTGGAAGGCATATTGTAAAACCACCACGCTTAGCCTATGCCAGTGAAGGCGTGTGCATTCCGTTGTGTGTGTGATGTATGTGAGCGAAGGTGCATGCCTGTCTCGGCACACGTGTGGAGGGCAGAAGACAAGTTTTTGGAGTTGGTCCTCTCCCGTTGCTGGTCCCAGAGATCAGGTGGTTAGGCTTGCGTGTGCTGTCACTCTCTGAGCCATGCACAGGGGCTCAGTGAAAGAAGAGGACGCTGAGGCGGAGAGGTTAGGTTCCCATCACCTTGCCATTGGCAGAAGAGGCAGGATCTGATCCAGTCTGCTCCCTGGGTCCACAGCCGCACCTTACACTGCCTCTACAGAGAGATATTCCTAACATACTCAACTAAGCTGACACACATACATGAGTTTCTATTTATAACTGCTATCTTGTAAACTCCTTTCAGCACATTCAAAACCACACAGCAGAACATGTGTCTGAGCCGGGTGCCTATAATCCCGGTACTCAGGGAGGCAGAGGCAGGTGAATCTCTGTGAACTGGAGGCCAGTCTGGTCTACAAAGTGAGTCCAGGACAGCCAAGGCAGAGAAACCCTGTCTTTAAAAAAAAAAAAAAAAAAAAAAAAAAAAAAAAAAAAGACTGCATACCTGCATATCTGGTTTTCTTTTCTCTTTTATTCTTTCTTTGTTTTCAGACCGGTCTCACCCTGTAGCCCTGGCCAGGAACTCGCTATGTAGATCAGGCCAGCCTTGAACTCTCTGAGCTCACAGAGATCTGCCTGCTCCTGCTTCCAGCATGTTGGGACTAAAGGCAGGAGCCACCAGGAGCAGTCCAGCACGGTTTTCTTTCTACTTTTCTTCCAGTCCTTCATCAGGTCTTTCGGTAAACCTTCTCTGACCAGCCAGCTCTGGGATAAGTGCACCTTGGACCTCAGCGCTGCGCACTTGTTGGCCTTATCATTAAGGCTCACAAGGTGCCCATTGTCCTGGCTGCCTCCTCCAGTGGACTGTGAGAGCAAGGATGTGATCATGTGCGCAGAAGCTGGGCTCTCAGTGAACACTCTGGCATAGGAAGACTGTCACTACCTGCAAATTTCTCAGGACGCTCATGAGCAACTACCCCACATTTCCCACACACACAAACACAGGAACGGATATGCTCCGCTCCAAATCTGTTGACAAGCACTGTGGCCTCAGGCAAGGTCAATGACTACCCACCTACCCTCAGTCCATCAGTTACTGCTACAGCTCTTATCTCCCTCAATCACTGCCATACACTGTTTCTTTCTTTCTTTCTTTTTTTTTTTTTTTTTGAGCAAATACAGTCACCATCTGCATTCCGAAAACAGGGTACAGAGTTGAGTGAATAAGAGAACAGTTCTATTTTTCATCCACCGTCACAGGTTGTTTCTTTCATGAACTGGATCCCTGACTTATGCAATTACTGTCACCGTCGTCAGTCTTCCGGGTTTCTTCCTTCTTCGCCTCCGGGTGCTCCCGGGGGCTGGTCCGCGGGGTCTGCAGCTTAGGGCGCTCCGGAGCCTCAGCCCAGGCGGGCGCGGCCTGGCCCCGCCCCCTCATGCATATGTAGTACCCCAGCCCGGCGGCCCGGCCCCCAGACGGCCATTTGTAGCGGTGCTGGAGGCTGCGTTCGGCTGCGCTGCGGAGACGCGGAGAGGAGCGCGCTCCCTGGCTGCCGCGTCCCCTGCCTCGTCGCCTCCCCGGCTCTCCCGCGTCTCGGGCAACTCCCAGCCGGTCCGGGGGATAGCGCTCCGCGGCCCGCCAGGCCACTCACGGGCCCCGCGCGCCCTAACCGCCTCGTAGCCCAGCCGGCCGCACTCGTCCCCGGAGCCGGGCCTAGGGCGCGCGGCGGCCGGGCTGGGCTCCGGGCGTCCCGATGGCCGCGGCCGGCTGGCGCGACGGCTCCGGCCAGGAGAAGTACCGGCTGGTGGTGGTCGGCGGCGGCGGCGTGGGCAAGTCGGCGCTCACCATCCAGTTCATCCAGGTGCCTGGAGTGGGGCCTGCGGGGTGTCGGCGGCGGGTGGCGCTACCTGTGGCC